TTATGTACCATCGCATGGGGTCGCAAACCGTTTCCCGCCCAAGGAACAAGGCCACCTCAATGATTTCTGGCATGGGTCACCCTCGCTATCGAACAGGCCTAAATGGCGGGACCAAAGCCGCTCGACACTGAGTAGCATAGCCACAGTAGCACCTCCCGCGGCGATTAGTCGAAGCTAGTGATGAGCCCGTTAGGCACGACGCAGCGCGCGATAGCCCGAGACCAGAACCGATCGAAATGTTGCATGCGCGGATTTGTGCAAGTAAATCCGTTTGTGCCTGTTTCTTCCCGTGCACGTGACTGATTTAGTCGCGAAGCTGCATTAATTCAACACCTCCTCGTCGCCCTCGCCTCGCGATTTCCACGCGCTTCTCCTCGTCGCCCCTGCTTCGCGATTTCCCACGCGCTTCTATTCGTCGCCCCCGCCTCGCGATTTCCCACGCGCTTCACCTCGTCGCTCCCGCCTCGTCATTTCCCACGCGCTGGACCGCGTCGCCCCCGCCTCGCAATCTGTCCCACGCGCGGAACCTCGTCGCCCCCGCCTCGTCGTTTCCCACGCGCTTCTCCCCGTCGACCCCGCTTCTTCATTTTCGCGCGCGCGCAGCCTATACTCGCACATGAAGTCCGCAATGATTCCCCGGTAACACACCTCCAACCACCCGAATCGCCTCTTCCTCCCTCCATCTCTCCTGGGAACCCCCATCTCTACCCTCTCTTCCTCTCTCTCCATCCCTCACTACCTTGCTCTCTTCCCCATGTCCATCCGCGGTTATCATGTACCCCTCTCAGGAGAGAGGGGTAAGGACCGAGGGTTTGAGACAAAGGGACAAGGACTCAGGAGGGAGACAGAGGGGGAAGGACAGATTGGAGAGGCATAAGGGGAAGGACCGAGGGGGAGAGAAAGAAGGGGAAGGACAGATGGTACGAACAGATTACAATTCCACCAAACTTCTGTGCGCTTACACCTCAAGCACCTCCATAACAATCCAAATGCCCCAAAGACCTCTTCCATGACTGTAAGAGCATCGCCCCCCCGCACGCTACACCAGCTGTGCACTGAAGAGAGAAGAGCAACATCAACCTTACCAAACCATACAGTGTCCAAGTAGCACATTGTACCTTACTAAGGTTAGTAAGGCTCGGTGAAGATGGCCAGCCTTTGCGGGACACCGCATCCGAAACCCTGATGATGGGGATCGTCACTGTTGGGCATTTGGGGTTCATGGACACATTGATGAATGCGTTAGAAATCTAGCTCCAACCAGCATGTTCGACAACATCTCCGAATAGCAAATAAAAGTTCTGAACGCATATACGTCATTTGCGGTAACCATGCCCGTCCATCTCACTTGTGGCTGCTGTCGTTGTTGGAGCTGATTCGTCCACCATGTTCGTCACACCTCCCCTGCTTGTCGGCATGTGTCGGCCCCTCCCGACACCCATGCCGGATGTCGCATGTTCTTGATCCTCACCGCCGCTCCCCTCGTTGCTCCCATCGCCCTCTGCGACTGCCTCCTCCTGCAACCCTCCTCAACATCCGCGCTCGTGGTTCCGCCTGCATATCCTGCTGCGTCATGCCATAGTAGGGCTCCCGCAGCGTGCCGGCACGGGTTGTAATGCGTGGCAGATGCCGTGGGGACTTTGACCGCGCCCTTTGTTGGAATGTCCCGGCACTGAACATGGGGGTCGACACGTAGGGGCGACATTTGAAAATGAGATAGAACACGCTGAGCATGTTGTAACTGTAATACCAGTTACCCACCAAAAAATATATAAGCAAAGTAACACATCCTGACATACAATATCCACAATTCCAATGCATCACTCATAAGAATATAGCCTCTTATCGGACATTTTCAGCGACTGATAGGCTGTTCCACGTCTGGCCCCACCCATCGAAACTCAGGCACCGGCTCAGCGGCGTTCTGCTCCTCCGGCGTTGCGATAAAGCTGTACTCCAAACCACCGATTGGTGTCGAGCGGAGGAATAAAGCTCCCTCACTGTAGGGAATCCTTGACCTCTCTTCCTTACTCGCACTGATGACGCGTGTGCATCGACACCCGCTTTGAACGAAGACTTGACGCCGTATCCCCTCGCATCTTCACCACATGCGCACAAGGCATTTCGCAACTTGGTAAACCACATTGACAGGGATGAGCATGTGCTCAGCATGATGGATTTAGGGTGAGATTGTGATGCAAATCTGATTGAGGATTTGATAGGGATGGGCATGTGGGCAGTAGGATGGGATGGGTTGCGATGTGTATGTGCTTGAAAATTATGGAAAACATGAACAGCTTGGTGAATGACATTCAAACAGATGTGCATCTGGGCTATCGGATGACAAAGATGGGCTGGAAAGACATTAGGGATGGGGCAAAAGAGCATGGTTGATTCGTTTGTCATACCTGCAGCAGAGGCTGCGTCAACTAAATAGTCGACAAGAGCGGGGGCGGCTTCGATGAACAAGAATACCATATCACTGTCTCGTGGCACGCAACCACCTCCCATGAGGCTTGCCAATCCGCAGCGTAGGATGGCCCATGGTGTGGTCAAGTGACATCTGAGAGTGAGTTTTCTTTTGTGCAGCAACTTGTGCAATGCCTTGGACGTCGCAGTCTCCCTGGCTACACCATCCGGCACTAAGGCAGCACGGCCAATACCCTCTTCGCCACCCTCCCTATCTGCGCCAGACATGTGAGCTAAGTCAGCGGGGGGCCGCAGGCGTGTCTGAAATTGGGGACAGAGGGGAAGGCAAAATGGGGAGGGACAGAGGGAAGGAAAGATGGGGATGGACAGAGGGATTGGCAAATTAGGGAGTGACAGACGGATGGCAAAAAGGGGAGGAGAAGAGGAGATGGGGAAGCACAAAGGGCAGGGAAACTGGGGGGGGTGGGGGCAGAGGGAAGGGGTAATGGGAGGGTTATATAGAAAAGGGGATTTGGTAAGGGACAGAGGAAGTGGCAATCGGGAGTGACGGAGGGAACACGTGAAGTGTATTGGAAAGGGAATCAGGGAGTGACAGAGGGAAGGGGTAATGTGGAGGGACGGAGGGGAGGGGAAAGGGTTGGGACAGAGGGAAAGGGTGGATGGAGTGTTGGAAATGGGAAATGGGGAGGGACAGAGAGAAGGGGAAATGGGGAGTGACAGGGGCAAGGTGTAACATGCAGTGTTGGGAACGGGGATTGGGGAGCGACAGAGAGAAGGGATATGTGGAGGGGCAGATGGAAAGGGAATTGGGAGGGACAGAGGAAAGTGGCAATGGGAGGGACAGGGGGGATGGGAAATGGGAGGGATTGAGGTCAGGGGAAATGGGAGAGACAAAACGGAAGGGGAAATTGTGGTGTGAGAAAGAAGAGGAGATGGGGAAGCACAAAGGGGAAGGGGATAAGGGGAGTGACAGGACAAGGGGACTTGGGCTGGTACAGGAAGGGAACATGGGGAAGGTCAGAGAAAATTGGAAATGGGGAGGGACAGGGGTAAGGGGATAAGGGGAGTGACAGGACAAAGGGAAATGCTGAGGCACTGGGGGAAGGGGATACATGGAGTGACAGGGGGAAGGGGAAATGGGGAGTAACCGGGACAAGGGGAATTGGGCTGGTATCGGAAGGGAACATGGGGAAGGTCAGAGAAAAGGGGAAATGGGGAGGGACAGGGGTAAGGGATAAGGGGAGTGTCAAGATAAGGGGAAATGCTGGGGGACTGGGGGAAGGGGAAACACGGAGTGGCAGGGGAAGGAAGAAATGGGGAGTGACAGGGACAAGGGGACTTGGGCTGGTACAGGAAGGGAACATGGGGAAGGTCAGAGAAAAGGGGGAAACGGGGAGGGACAGGGGGAAGGGGATAAGGGGAGTGACAGGACAAGGGGAAATGCTGAGGGACTGGGGGAAGGGGAAAATGGAGTGACAGGGGGGAAGGGGACATGGGGAGTGACCGGGACAAGGGGACATGGGCTGGTACTGGAAGGGAACATGGGGAAGGTCAGAGAAAATGGGTGCCTGAGAGGGACAGGGGAAGGGGATAAGGGGAGTGACAGGACAAGGAGAAATGCTGAGGGATTAGGGGAAGGGAAACATGGAGTGACAGGGGACTGGGATATGGGGAGTGACAGGGACAAGGGGACTTGGGCTGGTATTGGAAGGGAAAATGGGAGGGACAGAGGGTAGGAGAAATGGGGAGGGACAGGGGGAAGGGGATAAGCGGTGTGACAGGACAAGGGGAAATGCTGAGGGACTGAGGGGTGGGGAAATGGGAAGGGACAGAGGGGAGGGGAAATGGGGAAGGGACAGAGGGAAGGGGAGATGGGGAAGGGATAGAGGGAAGGGGAAAATGGGGAAGGGACAGAGGGAAGGGGAAATTGGGAAGGGACAGAGAGAAGGGGAAAATGGGGAAGGGACAGAGGGAAGGGGAAATTGGGAAGGGACAGAGGGAAAGGGGAAAATGGGGAAGGGACAGAGGGAAGGGGAAATGGGGAGTGACAGGGGCAAGGGGAATTGAATTTGTACAGGAAGGGGAAATGGGGAGGTCAGAGAAAAGGGGAAATGTGGAGGCTGGGCCGGGCCGGGCTGCTGATGTCCCTTCGCACGGATGGCCTGGGGCAGACACATTGGGCATAGGGTGGTTGGCAAATTAGGGAGGGCAAGCGAGGGTGTGTGGGAGGGCGACATTGCATGAGCCCCAATGCCGATCAACCCCTCTTTCAAGCATCGAAAGGGTGTGAAGAGGATGGGTGATGTGGGAAGGTTGTGGAGAGGAGCGTGATGGGTGTGACGGAATGAGCAAGGTAGGTGGGGGCGCACAGGTGAACACAAGGCACACACCAGGTACACAGAGGGAAGGGGTAACATGGAGTGTTGGGAGAGGAAAATGGGGAGTGACAGAGAGAAGGATTTGGGGAGGGACATAGGGAAGGGATATGGTGAGGGACAGAGGGGTGGGATATGTTGAGGGACGAGGGGTGGGATATGGGGAGGGACAGAGTGGTGAGATATGGGAGGGAC